AAGCTCGTCCGTACGCGATACGAACCGCTCTGGCCAGTTCTTGCCTAAAGGCTGGCCATCTCGTACGCGTAGTAGTTTTTCTGCCATATCTGCTACTTCACATAGACGGGGGGCAAATCCTCGCGAGTCTAGGTCAAGAATGTATCGTACGATAGTTTGCTCTTCAGATTTAGTTAGCTTCTGGCAATTTGGCTGCGTCGTAGGTCGAAAGGTGATTCCTTGAAGCCGCCGAGAGATCTGCTGATGATGGACGTTATAGGCTGCTGCAGCGCGTCGAATGCTCTTAAACTGGCCTGTACGATAGGCCTGAACTGCTAGAGTAAGCCTACCCTCTTGCTGAGTAAATATCACGTTCTGTTGTTGAGGCATTGTCTTTCGTACGTGAAGTTCGCGATGCCAAGAAAAAGTGGCACTCTCGGTGGGGTGGCACTCTCGGTGGTGGAATACGTTACTACTTTAATAAATAGTAGCTTATTAAAGTAATATAGTAACTTCACTTATATAGTATTAACTAAAAGTATAATTATTTTACTATTTATATGTATTTATCTGTCTATATAAGTAAAGTGTATTATATTTCTTTTTTTTACTAAGCTAGCTTTTATTTTTTTTAGTATCTCTAATAAATAGCTACTTATTTAAAATATAAGTATATATGGAATACTAGGAATTATGCAATAGTGTTATGGGCGAGAGAGGCCTAACTAACGAGTATGCATTCACCTATTGTACAGAAGAAGAAAGATACAGAAAAGAACTATCTAGAGGGCCCTCCTTTTATAGTTGTTACTCGTACGAACGCTCAGACCTTTAGTCTTCCTCCTTACTTAAGCTTGTTCGTACGTAACTAACCACGTCATTTAGTCACGTGACTAAAGTCATGTGATTCACTGCCATGTGACCTGTAGGTCATGCCTCTCTGGCGTAGCCCTTTACAAATAGTAGCTTTTACTTTGATTAACTTTAAACAGGTAATAGCTTATTAAAGCTATATAGTAGTTATATAATAACTACTAACGTGGTTCATAAGCGAGTCGGTCACCCAAGCGAGTCGGTCACTCCCCACTAGCGCGTTGACGTTGACATGTTATCACAGTCTTTTATTACAGTCAATAAACTATTGCAATATACTAGATTAATTATTAGAATCGCTACTATTACTTGCACTATCTATCTTAACTACGCAGGTATGAGCGTTGTGTCCAGTCTGCTTGCAACGCCCGCACCGCCGCTCTCCTCGCACCCTCTTCGACGCACTCTCACCATCACCACGACTGCTACCCGCCTGTTTAGCTAATACTTCTTGTACTTCGCCTACAGTAAGAGTCTCTTCTGTGCGTACGTATCGCCGCTTGCGGCTCTTACGCTTAATTGCTATGTCTAGAGCCTCTTGAAGAGCAGCTACTTCCTCCCTTATAAGCGTCATCTCATGTGCTATTTACTAAGCCCCTTTACTTAGCTGTACAACCTTCTTGTCAAGAGAATTTGTAGAAGACCTAAGGCGGTTTCTTACTCTCTATCGAATAAGAGTACTTTAAGCCTCAACCTCGCGCGCGTTGCGTGGTGTCTGCGCCTGCCAGGCGGCTGTCCGTCGTGGTAATTATTATTATTATTGTTGTTCCATTAGAGTCTAGTGAGCTCGAGGCTATGTAAGACTTTGGCCGAGGCCGTT